TTGTTACCCAAAAATCCTGACTGATGTGTGTGTGTGTGTTTTAGGGATCGAAGGCCAACCTGGGCTGAGGAGAGACGAATGAATGCGGAGACATTCGGCATCCCTCTGAGGCACAACAGAGGAAGAGGAGGTTTCCGTGGCCGAGGCTTCATGGGGCCCCGCGGAGGCCGAGGGCGTCCAGCCAGCAGAGGCTCCTTCGGGCCACCCCGAGGTGCGCCGCCTGGTTTCAGAGGTGGATTCCGAGGTGGCAGAGGAGGCCGGGATTTCTCTGATTTCGAATACAGGGTAAGTCTGATGAGCTTTATGTTGTCATTAAAGTACGCAGAGAAAAAGAGGATCGCTGGCCGTTCTAAGCTTGTGTGTATCTTCTTATTTTCCATCCAGAAGGATAACAAGGCGGCTGCATAGTACAGCAGCGACGGATCCACAAAGAATTGTAGCCACTCGTCATGAAATTGTTGCCGTTGAAGAAGCTTTCTTTTGGTCTCAGCATTTGACAGAAAGAATGAAGACATCCTGTCAGTCACCAGCACCGCAGTGGACCGTTTGACATCAGGGGGCGAGAGCTGCTGCTCCCTCTCTCCACTTGTGTTTGCTTTTTTTTCCTTTTTTTTTTTGCCCCAGAAGTTTTGTTTGATCGCCCGATGGACAAGACCACATGTGGATACAATGCTTTGGAATAACGCTGTACTTTTGCATCAGTCATTTCTTACTGCAGTCGTCTTTGATATTGAAACGCAGAGAGCCCTGTGATACTGTGAGTGGATCACAGTCAAAGTGATCGATAGCTTTATTTTTATTTTTTTTTTGTTCTTTCAGTTTTTGATATAACATTTGTTGGCACCAAACTTCACAGCATTGCCTGTTGCACCATATTTTTCTCTGCTCAGATTCAGTTTGGTGCCATGTGTTCAGTATTTTTACTCTTGTTAGCATTAAAAGTTCCTTTTTTTTTTAGCATCCATTCGTGCTCAATGAGGTAGTGAGATCAACGCCAGCTGAGAGAAGCAAAAATCTGAACTAAATATTGTAATAAATGAATGTATATCTAGCTCATCTTATTTTTTACTGCCCCCCCAGCAAATTGTTGCTCATCAAACTGACTGACTTCTAGTTTTTAGCAAGTGTATTCAGTATTTAGGATTGTTAGATAATGCTCCGCACTCAAACGTCCCCTTCAATGAATTTTCTTTCTGCTTTCGGTTTAAAGTTTGACTTCTGCTGGCCAGTTCATGACGGCACCCTAGCAAACACCGGCAGCCTGTAGGAGCCTGTCATTCGCTTGATTTATGTGATTTACAGCATTAGCTTTAGATATATTTGTTGACAGCATTGTTGTTTTGTTGTTTTTTTTTTTACCCCGAGCAGGCATGTTTACATAGTTGACTAAACAAAAGCGCATTTCCATGATTTGTGTCTGTTAAACAACATCCATTATTAGTGTAGAAGCTGTTAGGAAATAAACCGCAAACAAGTTAGATGAACCTAAAAATGCTCTGCTATTTTGCCAAAAACAATATGTGAGCGTTTGAGCTGAAGCAACTGTCAGAAGTGAGTACGTGTTTTATCATTTCAGTACCTCTTAAATCTACTTCTGTGTCCCGAACATACTGAGCCGTCTAAAGCACATTCGTTTTTGTTTTGTTTTGTTTTTTTTAGTCAACATTCTTTGAATCGTCTTACAGTTGTGTCATTTACATCTTTTTACAGTAGAGAAATAAGTGTTTCCGCAAAATTAAATACTTGCAGTGTCGCAAGGATTGTTTACTGAAACTGGGAAATCTTGTAAATGGATTAAATGATGTCTCAAAACATATGTTCATACAAATGGCAGCATTTCTGATAGATGTCAGCCCTCTGGCTTGTTTGTAGCTCCTCTTGTTGCATTGTCGTCAATGTGATTGTTCTCTGGAGTGACTTTTTTTTTTTTTTTTTTAAACTGATTTGTGAACAAAGGGACAAGAACTGGATGTGGTGCCAGTACATTTGGTGGGATATTTGTTTCTTTTTGGCTCTGATTTATTAGTGCTTTAGGGGAGTGCCTTCAGAGTGGTGAATTTTTTTACAGCTCTCCCTTTAACTTAAAGGTTACCTTTTTGACAAAAGTATTGATAGCACTACAAGGTGAACGTAGATCCTTCTCTGTAGCTGTGGTTGTTTAGAACAGAGCAGCCCAGTGGAAAAACGTGCTGTCTAACCAGATATTGCACAGACAGCTGATCACTGCATGATAGCCTTAGGAACCATCACTTTATATGGGCTTTCGCAATACACAGCGGGATTCAATTTGAGACAAAGTATTACTGAACTATTCAAAACTGACATGTTTTCATATGTTTGCTACTCCTTCCAGTCACTGGAATTGTAAACCAGGAATAATTTTCTTGAGAATATCAGCAAAATTGAGTTTTTACGTAAAATAAAGAGTTGTACAATTTGCATGTCGTGCTTCATTTTTCATCCACATGTTGGGGATTTTCACAGAAGGACACAAGCCTCCCTTTGCCTTTGCCTGTGTGTGTTTATTAGAAATCTTACTGTTGGTAGAATATTTGGACTCAACTGGAAATTATATCTGATATATATAAGAAATTATTTTTATAATGGTAAGAAAAGATAAATGCGCAAACACAAGCTTCAAAATAGTTTGACCAAAAGATATTTTTGGAACAGACTGGTTTCACTTGCATCAGTCAGATCAAGTAGCAATATCTTATTCTTAGGGTCAATATGGATTATGAGTAATCGGTACCTGATATTTGGAACCAATGTACATTTGCAGTAAAAATGAAAATCTAGTTAAAATTTAGAATAAATCAAAGTCTGACACAAAAGTTCATTAAAATGCATGTATTCATGTTTTACATATGATTAAGTAGAAGAGAACTTTTCACCATGTACTCTTCAGTGCTGACAGCAGGTTGCTACTTGACCTGTAACCAATCAGATACTGCTGTATGTGGGACTTTGCTCCAGACCACAGAGTGAGTGCAGAAATAAAACTACCAAAGTAGTGCAACTGTTTTTTAAAAGGCCTGTAATTTGAAAAAAATGAACTATTGGATCTGGTCATAAAATAGAATAGAATAATTTTTTATTTATCCCCCATTGGGGGAAATTTACAAGCCAAAGCTGCATCCAAAAATATAGAAAAGTACAAGAAAATAGCAATAATTAATAATAACAATCATATTTACACTGAAAAGAAAACTAGATTGTGCAAATTTGCAGTGCAAAAGTGAATTTAATACATGAAATGCCATTTTTTTCAATTTGGTCAACATCAGCTCATGATGCTGATGCTGTACAGCAGGGGTGTCAAACTCTGGTCCTCGAGGGCCGCAATCCTGCATGTTTTAGATGTTTCCCTCTTCCAACACACCTGATTCAAATGATCAGCTCATCATCAAGCTCTGCAGAAGCCTGATAACGATCCTGATCATTTGAATCAGGTGTGTTGGAAGAGGGAAACATCTAAAACTTGCAGGATTGCAACCCTCAAGGACCAGGATTGGACACCCCTGCTGTACAGTCTTGTTACAGTTGGTAGGAATGACCTGCGGTAGCGCTGTGTCTTGCAGAGAAGATGTTTGAGTCTGCTGCTGAAGGAGCTACTTAAAGCCCCCACAGTGTCATGCAGCGGGTGAGAGGGGTTGTCCATGATGGATGTGAGCTTTGCTAACATCCTCCTCTCACCCACCTCCTCTATAGAGTCCAGGGAGCAGCCCAGGACAGAACCGGCCCTCGAGTCATTATTCAGTACTTATTACAGAGGGGTCTGATTGCAGTTGTGGTGTGATTGAGATAATTCATGTTGAGTACTTTTAAAAAAAAAAAAGTCAATCCAAGAGAATGGAAGCAACATCAATAGAAGTTATCATTTTTAATAAATATGAATCAATAAAGTTATTATGGTGATGGAGAACAACATCAGTTCAGCCAGTGCTTCTTCTACACGTATCAGGATTTTGTTCTGCTTCTAATTTAGCATGTGGCAAACACTTAAAATGCTTTTGACGGTGGCTTATGTATCTTGTTACATCAAGTTAAGACATCAAACACACACCACCGTCAAGAAATAAATCAAGACGTCTAAAACGAAGGATCAAGGAAACCTAAAACGCTCTCATGTAGATTCTGCAAAGTTTCTGTCAGACGATTTGCATGTGCAAAACACTGACGAGAATGCAAATGTTTGAGGCACTAAAAGTAAAGTGAGGACGGGAAATAAAACAATGAATATTTTCAGATTTTAAGTAACTGAATACCAAGCACAGTAAAGAGTACAAAAAAAAAAACATGAAGCACTTTGATCCCTGTGAACATTCTTCTAGTTTTTCACTGGATTAAAGAGCTCACTAAGGAGTCAGGTATTTTTATTATAAAAGGGGAATTTTCACAACCTGGCAGCTACTAAATTGTCTTTGATCTATGAGTAAAATAAGCATTAATAAAAGCAGTTCTTACAGCTATAATTATCTGAGCGATACTGTAGGATGATGTTTGTGGGTCCTGTGAGAGCTGACAGCTGCTCCGGTGTTGACTTTTTTTTTTTGACATTTTGGCCTGAGGGTGGCACAAGTGGACATTTTACAGAGTCCAAAATGGAAAAGGTTATTCTCTGGGAACACAACGCGCCTGTTGATTTCGGTATTTCTTGTGTATATGTAATAATTTGGCCTGATTGTGGTACTGGCTGGAATGGGGCCTTGCTGGACAATAAAGTCGATAATCCAAAAGAAGCAGGAAAGTGTAAATGTCAGTTGAATAATCCACTTTATTTATTTATTTATTAAGTCGAATAAGTCTGTTCTTTTTCATGTTTACTTGAACTTAAAACCCCTTAATTAAAAACATCAGAGATTAATGAATTAACTTAATAGATAAACCATCATTTTGCGTTTGACTACAGTGTTGCTGGACTGCAGCTCACCAGCAGGTGGCGGTAATGCAGCAAGAGCAAAACGACATGTGTTGTCGGCGAAGAAGATAAAGAGGCGGGACAGAAAGAAGAGAAGAAGAAGAAGAAGAAGAAGCTAGCCGTTGCGAACATAAACAAATGCTGGAATACCGGCAACTATACAAACATGTCCATCGTGTTTGTGCCAAAGAAACTTCGAGGAAAGGCGAAAATCAACCAAGAGACAATACAGAGGGTAGGACACCAGTGAAGAAAATTTACGAAGCGACTTAGCTTATATTTATTTACAATTAAGCTGTGACGTGAGCATTAGCCGTTAGCACTAGCTTGCTGCTTCACCAGTTTCGCCATTGATTTAATTCTTATGTGGTTATACTCAGTTTGGCTTCATGCTCACTGCCATTCGCTTTTTTTGTGACGGTTAAAGCCAGCCGAATAAACACCAGTACTGTGTGCTGTTTTGTTCTGTCTGTTCCAGCTGCTGGATGAAAACGACCAGCTGATAAGATGCATTACAGAATACCAGCAGAAAGGACGAGCAGTGGAGTGTGTGCAGTAAGTTCAGAAGCATGACACTACTTTAGCTTGCTGGAAATGCATAATCAAGGTCTTGTTTTGCTGTTTTTTATTAGTTTGCACACTGTAGATAGCTGTGTTGTGTGTGGATATGTTGATGTTCAGTATAAGTAACAGAAGTGAGTATAATATCACTTAAATGTCAGATCATTCAAAATTGTATCTCTTTAAGTTGGGCAGTAGGGGATTTGTTCTTGTGTGAAATTCAAAATGAAGATTTACTATAGTAAAAATACAGACCCCACAGTAGGACTCAATGCAACAAAAGTCTGCTCACTTTTCATTAAAATCTTTTTGTTTTTTAAATACTTTTTAATGCATTTTTCCCCCTTTCTTTTTTTATGGGAGACTCAATAGGTGAAACACTTGGCCAGGTCATAGTTTTTGCTCTTTTTTTTTTCTTTATAAATTTGAATCTCTTGTGGGATTTTGGCAGTTTGCTTTGGATCGTTATTGTACTGGAATATTCCTTTTCTACTAAACTGCTGTAGACTGGAAATCACTTTGATCATCCATTATTTTGGTATATTCACAGTTATTCGTGGTGCCACTTAAAAATCCATCCACCCATCATCTATACACCGCTTAATCCTCACTAGGGTCGCGGGGGGCTGGAGTCTATCCCAGCTGACTCAGGATGAAGGCAGGGGACACCCTGGACAGGTCACCAGTCTATCACAGGGCTACACTTAGAGACAGACAACCAAGCACACTCACATTCACACCTACGTACAATTTAGAATCACCAATTAACCTCAGCATGTTTTTGGACTGTGTGGAGAACCCGGAGAGAACCCACGCTGCACGGGGAGAACATGGAGACTCCACGCAGAAAGATCCCGGGTGTCCTCACCGGGACGTGAGCCGGCGACCTTCTAGCCTTCAAGGCGACGGTGCTACCTTGCAGCCCCCCACTTATAAATGTCTTCTCTAAACACTTTTTGCACGCATGCAGCCTCATATCATCACACTCCCACCTCTGTGCTTCACTGTCATTTTCCACATGATGCACTGAACAAACTTAGCTGATCTGACCAAAGAATGTCCTCCCAGTATTCATCAGATCACCATTTAACAAAGGTAATCTTGTGATTTTATGTTGAAGAGCAAGCAAGAGTTTTTTTTTTTTTTTGTACCTGAACGCCATCCATAGAGGTTGATGTTCATCCAACTTGTCCTTCACCCTGCTTTAGCTGTTACAGCAACTGATTTTCATTGATAACGCCTGTGCCAAGTCTGAAGCACTTGCATATCTGTTTTTCCATTGTGAAAGTAGCACACTGTCTGTGGTGTCAAGTTGGAAGGAGGGCCCCTCGAGCTCTGATTAGCAGTACAATGGCTCATTCTGTGCTTCTTCAATACTGCTGCAACTGTGCTTCCACTGATTGCTAGTTGGTCATTGATCTGCCTGTATCTTTTCTATCTTTCTGAAGTGTCCCAGTCAGATTTTTGAAATCCTTTGGCAGTTCTTTTCCATGATGCAGAAATGAAGATAGACACAGCCCATAGGTCCAAAATTTTTAAAGTTCTGGTGTTCATAGCTCATTTTGTAATCATGCTCAAGCAGTACGCTAATTGAAAATCACAGGTGTATTCAATTCTGATGTAGTGATCACAGGTGTATTTATTTTTGAGTTTCTACTTTGGGGCCTACGTATTTGGTTTTGGTTGTTCGTAAGAGGAAATACTGCAGTTGTCAACTTAAAAATAATTAAGTTATTGAGACGTGATACATTTTTTAATCATTCTATATTTATTTGATATTACACAGGAATGCACTCACTTTTGTTATACACTGTACGTCTCTTTGGTATTTCAAGCTGCCATTGTTCTGCTTTTCCAACAGATACCAGCAGATCCTGCACCGCAACATCGTCTACCTGGCAACCATAGCTGATGCTAGTCCTGACAACACACCTCCCGCTTCAAATGTAAAGACAAACCACACTGTGCAATAAGTTTACTGAGAATAGAGTTGATGGTGTTCCCACGACCAACTCATTCCTAATGCTCTGTTACTGTTTTCCAGTCTACACCTAATGAAACCTCCACCTCAACACCAGCTGTGAACGGCCATAGAGGGACGTGATGTTGGCAGTTCCTGTCCTTGGGTCTGGGATGGGATGTGACATTTGTTTAGTTGTTGGTGATTTTAACAGAAGGGATTATATTTATTACATTCAGCACAAACTTGTTTTCAATAATTTAAATCATTGTAGGATCGCTGTTCACAATTTCAATGTTCATGTAGGCAAATTTAGAATAGAACACATTCTAAATATGTTTTTGTAATTCACTGGAGTGCACATTAAAACACATTCTCTAGTTGTGAAAGTCGTGGCTGGTGTTGGTTTTTAAAAATCAGTTGAGCGATTGTACTGCACAGGTCCATCATTTAAAGTTTCTAGCAGCAGCTGATGACATCTGAGGATCTTTAAATTTCTGTGAGTTGGAGCTGAAAGAACTACACAGATGGCGTTTCGAACTGCTAGTCATTTTTATTCATTTTTTGCATTGCTGGTACACTTGGAAAGATTCAGTTGCCAGGTCAAGAAAACAATAAGCAACATAAGCCAAGCAGTCCCCCTTCATATCTTCTATCAGGGCAACATGTTTTTATTATTACTTTTTTTTTAATCTTTTGTAGAAGCCACTAGTAAACCATTTGACACAGCTGAGAAGCTAACAGTTACAGTCCAAGGTCTGTAATGATGTCTTAAAAAAGGCTGCAACAGTTAGGGAGATAACACAGACAAAAAGCAACAAACTCTATATCTTGATTGTGCAAAGCACATTAACTATAAAAAGATATATATTTATATGTATATACAGCAAACAATTCTCTGTAAACATGTTAAGTATGTTAGTTTTCTGAAAACATGGTGTCATTTCTTAAATACAGGCAACATTGGCATCCGCAAACATCACAAAAAGATAACATTCTGGGCTTTTAAATACAGCCCATTGCCATAGAAACCGAAGAAACAAGGGCTCGAAAAAACACCCTCATCGAACATGTTTTAGTGTTTAGCATGGCATATTTGGTAACCTTTATAGATAGATGGTGTAGTTCAACTCTGTAGGAAAAAAATGTGCTTTTTCACATATTGGGAGGTGGAAAATAATGTTTGTTTTTTTTATGTAATATGTCTACAAGAATACTAACATACAGTAATGGTATAACATGTAAGAAAATACAAAAATAAGATTAATACTGTCAATAATTGTACACGAAAAATATTGTATTATTAAACAGAAGAAACATTAGGTTTATGGGAGTTAGTGTCAATCTGGAGCAAACAACCGCCAATTAGAGAGGAGGAAATGAAGATGTTCCCTAATGCTCGCATCAAATAGGGGGTTCAACTTCACGTTTAGTCAGTAATCTCGGACCGCCTCTCGTCTCGTCAGCACCATTCATCTTCTGAACAACGCTTTGGTTGGAAATAATATTCTGCAAGTGCTATCAATACCAACATGGCACATAGTTACTGCTATAATTCTTAACTCTGGTCAGTTGTTGAAAAAAGTAGTGTATTTCTCTCAAATTACACCTCTGCAGTGACTTACTATATTTATGCTGAGCCTGCTCAAAGCCTCTTAATAAAAAGAACTAAATATTTATATTTCAACTTCAGTATTTTACAAGCTATGAAACAGTAGATGGTAGCTGTATTCTGAGTCATCTTGCATGAGATTTGGCAGTTACAGCTATGTAGACACAGTATATTTATTATGGGCAAAATGAGAGCATTTCAAGCCCCTGCCCCCTTGTAATCCCCTCCTTTACACGCACACACACACACGCACGCACACACACACATACACACACGTTCAGCTGCAGAAGCAAGTGGGTGACGGCCGTGCGCGTCTCCAGCTCTTGTCTGAGGAAACGTCAGCTCAACAGACAGAGAAACGACCACTAGACTAACTGCTGCCAGCATGACACATGCACCGTTCATAGTTAAAACATGGCAGTTCAAAAAACTTCAAAATACATCTCTTTTTTTTTTTTCAAATGGGGATGTTTGACATGGAAAAATATAGATACAAAAATGTCGAGCCAGTGTGTGTACTTAACGTTGCCTCGGGGGGCTTTGAAATCTTCCAATTCAGTGGGTGTGGACTGTAAATGGCTGCAGCTCGGCCCACTCAGTGGCTCATGTAACAGAGCTGCAGGTCCTCCGTGGCACTTCACCGTGGACTCGTTCCGACGTTACACCGCGGTCAGTACTGGTGAAGGTAGGAGGGCCTGTGCTCGTGTTTGAGGGGGAAGGATTTAAAGCCCTTGGTCATGGGTTTATGTTGCTGCTGTTGCTGTTGTTGTTGTTGCTGCTGCTGCTGTTGCTGCTGCTGCTGCTGGGTGAAGGGAAAACCGGAAGAGATGCCGGTGGAGGGGGAGCAGTCGCTGGCAGTGGACCACACAGGAGACTGCAGCATTTGCATGGAGTCGCTCCACTGCGAGGAAGGAGGGATGTTCATCTGGTACAAGGAAGAGCTGGGATTGGGCATGGTGTTGGTGTGGGTGGAGTGCTGCCACGGTGCTTTGGGAGGCCAGGTTTTAGTTTTGCTGTCCTGTGGAGCAAACCAGATAGGTTAGAGAGTCAACATGCACGTAACGGTCTTTTAAATTAAATCAGTTTTTGGCTGCTACTGGAAAATATACAATGAACTGGGTTGTTTGATTGATACCGGGAGGCTCGTACTCTACCTGGTTATCATCTCCAATGTGATGGAGCGGTGGTGAAGGCAGGGTGCACACCTCCGGCTCCCCGCAGCTATGTTTTCTGAGGAAACAGAAATTTACATTCAACCTCATAGAAAGTATTTGGTCAAAGCCAAGCTCCAGATTTCGACTTGGAGAATGAGTAAGACAGGAAAGGAGGTGGTGTAGTAAGGCGCAGCCAAGAATTTACATCCTCACAAGCTATTTATGTTGTAATGATTAAATCGAGCGTAGTAAAACATTCCTGTTTACGTGTGGGCTCAGTGTGAAAGTAACAAAATCCTGCCAATTTCATGTTCGAGGTCCGGGACGTACCTCCTTTGTTTAACCGCCGCTACAAGGTCCGGCCCTGAAAACATGGAGAACAGGCTGTCACCGTTGGCTGAAGATGTCTCATCGCTGGAGCTGGCTGAGTCCCCCTGATTGGCTGACCAGCTGCTGTTTACGGTCTCACTGAGGACACAAGCAGAGGAGGTGTTAGCAGCGTGTCCCTTATGCTCTCAACAAAGGGCTGTTTAGAGGTGTAACAGGATCAGATTTATTTATAGGCTAAACCTTGATGACACACAATCTGAAAAAGAATGTAGCGTAGGATACTGCAAATGTAAACTTCTTTACTTTGGGACGATCTACCCGGCAACAGGGTGAACTGGAAATGGTTAAAAAGCAGAATTTTTCAATGTATACGTAGTCAAGATCTCCTGGTTCTATTTCAAAATAAAAGTAGCTAACAAGTAGTAGCGTTTTCTAAACAACAGGTTTATTTGACAGGGTTCAGGAGTGAGGTGACACAGCTGCTTGTTTACTTCTACCGGCTTCCCTGGACTAATCTGTGAGCACAACAACGCTGTCTCACACTTGTGGGTGGAATTAAATGACAACAGTCATGACTAACACGGTAAATGTCTCACAGTTCGATGGTGTCGACCACATTAATAATTTAATCAAAGCATCGCCCAACCCTATTGTGAACTGCGTTGAATCAAAGTTTTAAATAACCCTCCGACAGTCCAGCTCTATACTGATGCAAACAGTAATTAAGTAGCACCTTTCAAATCAAAGATGCTTTATAAACAGAAAAACAATGAAAACAGACACACATGAATAAAATCGAAGGGCAGATGCTGTATAAACAAATTTGAAAGACAGTGATTGTGACAAACAGCAAAAGTATGATCTGCTCTCGTCTTAAGTCTCGACACAGGAACAGCCAGGAGATTCTTATCTGAGGATCAGGCTGGTGCACGATGGCAGAGGGAGCGCAACCCTGAGCCGCAAAGAGTAACCACCAAAACCATAAAGTCAGTTCTAAAACTGGTTGTTAAACAGTACAGTGATGCTAAACATGATGTGTTCTCCTTTCTTGGTTTTAGTAAAACCATGTCTCATACTTGTATCGCAGTGGATCAGTTGATAGGCAGCTGTCGTATGTGGATACCTACCCCTCACTGTAGTACTCTGGGTGGGACCAGGTCCTGTGTTGCTCATCAGGCATTGGCCAGTTGCTGCGCGTGTTGCTGGGCCGACGGATGTGCTGCACCTGCCGTTTCTGCTGCATGGCCTGACTGACGCCGGCAACGTAACGTGCAAACTCTGGATCCGAGCCAACTGCGCATGGAAAGGGAGGATAAACACAGCTATGAGTTTCTGACACTCTCAGCTTTTCTCTTTCGCTCCCTGGAGCTCAATCCGTTTAGCCAGACTGTCTACCATAGCAGAAAAATCACAATAGCCGTAAGTCAACGCTGCACAATAGGCCTCGACTGCAATCAAAAGAGTCTGCTGCACTGTAAAAATAGAAACTGACACAAGCTCGATTCAGCATAAATCGTCAACCTACAGCCGAAGACACAAGCAGGGCAAAACAGCTGCTGACCTACATTGATTATCTGATTTAGATCAGGTTCTTAAGTTGTCTTTAGTTTGCCAGATTGGTTACAAGATTGTATACAAATACTAATAACAAACAGCCTGGAGCACAAAATGACGTGTGCGGGAAAGCAACAACATTGAACAAACTTCTCACAAGATACTGAATACGCAGAAAACAGCCTTTTCTAATTTATATATAGCATGGCCTTGACCAACTTGTGACAGTCACAGTTTGGTTGAAACAGATGCTCCCTTGATGCTACTTTAGCGTGCTTTGACCAACTAAAGGCGTGTGCGGAGGCTTCATTTCTAATCCACTGGTATTATATTGCTTTATTTTAATATAATGCTGCTGCCGTTTGTGCATTCTAATAATCTTTGTCTGGTAGTCCCTCTATGTTGAGATCAACTGATGTCTGCAAACTAATTTTCTTTTATGAGACAACAAAGGTTTGAATGAAACTTTTGATATGTCAGCTGTCTACGCAATGCAGGCATCATAACGGCTTCAGGTGGATTATACTGTTGGGACGCCAACTCGGGCCACCCACGAGTCCTTTCTGAACATTAGTCTCCCGGTATAATAGACATCGACATAATACCTGCAACATTCTAAGTCATTAAAACTTTGCTAAGCTTCTCAAGGGTTTCCTAAAATGAAAAGATGGTGTCAGCAAAAACTGCAGGATGAGTTGAACCATGAATTTAACCTGACTTAACAACATTAAAAATACTGTAATTTGACATCCTCAGTGCGCCGAAATCAACATAAATTCAGATAATATTCTTTGGTTTGATGTCAGTGGTAGGAAGGTAGGTAACCCTATTAGTTTGTAGGCTGACCTAACACACAGTTTCTAACCAGGCTTGTTGAACGTTATTGAAATTATCTTGTTACAAAAAAAAAAAAAAAGATTTTTGAGACAGCAGTAAAGAGGTTTAAACCAGTCCTCGTACAGTGTCACACTACTTCTCTGATTTCTGCCTCACTTATGCAGTGTTACTTACATGATTCTACTCATCTTCAGTGGTCAGAAAACACAAATAAATTCCTTAATCATTGTGATAAAAACGAAAGCTACAAATTATGAGCCTCTAATACTGAATAGACTGTTTTAGAAAATATTTTGAGCCTGTCTCAAGTGAAAGCAGGAAATCCCTCTTTCTTCCAACACTTGCCCTCCAGACTTCTACATAAACTGGATCTGAATGTCTGATTGTAGGAGGAACTGTTCTTATACAGGACCTGTTGAAGATGTTCACTCTAGGTTTGACATGGATGAAACTGGTGGACATGCGTTCGGAAGGTGACTCTCACCTGCTGGGTCGAAGGGCAGTGTGTCCCCCAGGACTCCAAACACTCCCTCACTCTGGTCCCTGTTAGGCCAAGTATTGTTGCGGGGCCCCTGTGGCTTCTGACCCAGCATCTCTGACATGACACTGTCCATGTAGGTGCTGACCAGACCCAGACTGTACAGGTCCGAGCTCAGGTCCGGCAGTCCGGGTGAGCCCCACTGCCCGATGGGACCCAGGGGTGACAGCCCTGCTGGGGGGCCTTGCGGTGGAGGCTGTTGCCCGGAGGTGCCTAGCCACTTGCTTGACACTCTTTGCCCTGGCAGGACCTGGGGTGGAGTCTGCTGGGGAGGAAGCTGAGGAGGAGGCGCCTGCTGCTGAGTGATGGGCTGCAGGAGGTGCTGGTAGTACTGCAGGGCTTGTGGGGAGGGCTGCTGAGGTGGAGGAGGGGGCTGCTGTTGCTGCTGCTGCTGCTGCTGCTGGGGCTGTTGTTGCTGCGGGGGAGGTGGCTGCGGTTGAGGCTGAGGCTGCTGCTTCTGCACTGATGGTGCAGGTTGAGGCTGGGGCTGAGGCAGGGTCTGAGCTGGGGGCTGTAGGGCACCGTGAGAGATCGACTGGGAGGCTGGCGGAGGACCGCTCGGTGGTTTCAGTTCAGCGGGGTTGGCAGACGCCACAGAGTTCCTCCTCTTGACCAGGGGTGAAGCCTGCTGGGACTTGCCCATGTTGAATCCTGAGAGAAAGTCAATGACATCCTGCATCTCTTGGTCAGTGGGCAGGTTCATCCCCTGGTCTTCAGCCACCGAGCCGTTGGCCAGCTGGTTTTGCTGGGTAGAGTCAGGGGCACAAGACAGACTGCCCATCTGCAGGATGCTCTGTAGCCTCCCGTCACTGTGGCCCAGGCCCTTGGCCTTGTCCTCAGAGCTACTGGTTGACAGCATGCTGCGAGACGGGGTACTAGGAATGGAGTAACTACCCCCACTGTTTGAGCTGGATGAAACCTTCTTGGTGAACTTGGAAGTCAGCTTGGATATTGTTTTGGGCAATCCACTGGAAGTCTTGGAGCTGGTACCTGGAGGCAAATCTGTCGGGCTGCCGTAGTCTGGGCTCTCCCGCTGCAGCTGTATCTGAATAGTGGGCAAGGCCTGCTCCCTTGTGTGGACAAGAAAAAAAGAGGCATGTTTGATTATGTGGAGTTAATATAGTAATCTGAATCATCATGACTAAAGTTCAACAGGTTGTATAAACAATACTTGACTGCTAGTTCAGAAAATGTTGAGAAATGCACTCGATATTATTTATCACTCACTTTCTCTCCTTCCACCTGTTGATGTCAAACACTGCTGTGTAAAGTACATCCACCAAACCAAGCGTCTTCTCTGGGTCTAAGCTGCGCTGGAGCAAGGACATAGTGGCTGGGTCCTCCTTGAGACACCTGAACACGTACGCACACACAAATATCCACAGCAGGACAGGACATGAACTACAAATCCAACACAACGTCTTCCACTCAAATCCTAGGTGCACTTGTTGAACAGATGAATACTTGATATGCAATACTATTCATAAACAGAAGAAAAAAGTCAAACATACCTCTCCTTATGAGAATGCTCATTCAAACTTGAGACAAAACTTTTTTGTTTTGAAGATAATTATTTCTCCCTTTTCACTAATAAGACTTGCATCTTAAAATTTAAAAAAAACTCTTTATGACTTGCTCCACAAACCGTCAAGTGGATTTTCTGATGCTGTTGGGAGAGTGCATATATATACAATTTTAAAGTCTGCAAAACAGAACGTTTCTTGATGTACTCACCATGTAGAGGGGACCTGGACCACCACCTTGGATCCTTCCAGAGTGATCTGGGGAGCATAGGCCTCTTTGTTCTCAATCTGAGCTGTATCAACAACCACCTGTTGGGACACAGACACACACCCTATGAGCATCACAAAAGCTTTTACTGCTATTTATTATGCTTATAAATTCTGCTTGTGCAAGTAATCCACAGACGTGTATAGCACACTTTGTTTTGTAATGTGCACATACAGCAACTAAACTGAATGGGGTTGGTGAGGTGGGTTTAAGCTCTACAGCACGTAAACCAGTTTAATTTAGCACCTTTACCAGGGACAACTCAAAGGCTTGTCACTGATGTCTGGAATGAATCTCCCACTGAGCAGTGACAGGCGGTTCAAGGTGAGGAAGCCGAACACTTTCAGTCAGCCAGTGACAACAAACAGGCCAGCCTTCCTGGCCGCTGCTCGTCAGATATATTTGTAAGTTCTTTGAAAGTGGCCTTGGCTCCTCGAGACCAGAGTAGCTGGGTCACAGAGACGGAGGGAAGGAGGGAGGAGTCCATTTCCTGTATTGCAGGATATGACCCTATTGTTATTAAAAAGGCAGGTGCATCCTCGAAAAACCCGAGCTGGCCATGTGAGAGAGCCACACACAGACACAAACGGTCGGCCAGCCATGTTGAAACACATACAACAAGGTCATTGGGGGCAGGAAAAGGCAGGAACAGCAGCAAAACAGTCGACATCATCCTCCTTACTGGACTCTGGAAGCCACGATTAGTAGAAAAAAGGGAGTTGCTGGAGAGTAATGTTTCCAGGAACAGAACAGATATGGTGATTATCACTGTGACTGTCATGTGAGCGTGAAAGAAAGAAAAAAGGGAAGAGAAAGATTGTGTGTGGGGGGTGCTGTGTATGGTGCACGGCATGACAGTGAGCGTATGAGTGAATGCAGGTGTTGTTTAAAAAAAAAAAAAAAAGTGTGGAGAAGTTACTGTGTGTGAGTGTGTGTCCATGCATACTACTGTGTGATCTATTTTAGCCTGAGTGCTGATAGGCTCAGATAAGGAGCTAATGTAAAGCGCTCATTCATCATCCAGGGATTGTTTTACAGTTAGCACGGGGCTGGCAAGGCTAGATGGGAACACACTCTCGGTTTTGACACACAAAACAGAGCAGACCACACAGAGGAAATAAACACTGAAGCATAAACACACTGGTGTTACTCTGAGGAGAGTCCTGCTGCTGACCCTCCCTCCCCGTGACTCTCCTTTTCAACAGGAGGGCGGGGGAGTACTGTTTGCAGACCCGTTCAGGCAAGCCTACTCTTCACTCAGATGCTGCAGGAATGTTTCTTCCCTTTTGTGTCTCTCTGGTGTTTGTTTACACCTCGCGGCCGCCTCAAAGCACGCGGACAGATCTGCTCATCTCCATTACAAATCTGACAAACAATGGGATGCAAGTTGCCAAACCCCAAGACACACAGAAGGGAGAGGATTCAGTAATTTAAGCAGAAGTGTCAGTGAAGTACAACAGGCCTGTTCCCGTCAGTATGCCACCAGCTTTCCACTGTTCTGTAGTATCCACTCCACCGTGAGGATGGATGTCAACAAGCTCAATTTGCCTTAGAATATGTTGCAAGTGCTGGAGTTTCACAATCCTTATAAACAACATTACGAGAAAACTGAATTTACTTCCTTCTCCAATATGTTGAAATACTTAAACTAATTAAAACTGACAAATGTTATTCAATACTGCCTTTGCAGACCATATTAACATTGGTCTGTACTCACCAGTCCAGCCTGGGCAAACAGCAGCTGGACAGCTGTCTTGCAGGCTCCTCTCCAACTGGATGGGCAAACTTGGTTGAGGACCTCAGTGACGGGGGAGTCGTCCCTGGGGGTCACGCCGTTCTGGCCCAGCGCCTCCTTAATGAGCTGCAGCATCGTGTGCTGAGGAGACAAAACACGGTGGGCCATCAACAAAGCAGCCTACCATCAACACCTGCTGATGTTACACTATAAACACCAGTGGTGAAAAAAGAGCAACTCGAGTTCACTAGCTCATGAATCTGTTAAGGTTATAACTCTTCTAAAAATAATAAAAAAGGAAACTGTTGACTTTCAAAGAGACACGCAGCACAATTGTGACAGACATTTAAGAGCCTACCCTTATCTGGAAAATAAAGCTGGTGACATGTAGAGAAAACAGAAAGCAGTTGTTTCAAGGTAAGTACCGTTTTCAGCTTGAGGTTTTCAGCGGCTGACTCGTTGAAGGACACTCCTTTGAGAAAATGTGAGCCGATCTGCACAGGGATGGTTGGCAGCTCGCACTGAATGGGCTGGGAGGTGGTCTGCATCCTGCCTGCCTGCTGAGCCTCCGCTTCACTGCAACAGCTCTGAACACACACACACACACACACACACACCAGCATAAATGCAAAACCCACGGGGCAGCAAAGACAAAACGCTGACAAAACAGTCCATTTTAACTCATTTGGTGTGGTAACATTAAAACGACCATTTTAAACAACCAACTTGTCTAACTTTTAAACTTAGTGTCTTAATCATTCTGTAGGAGTGAACCCACCTGTAAGGCTGCCTCCACAGCTTTGGGGTTGAGATGAAAGCCTGCCTTCAGTGCGTACTCACTATGGCCCAGGCTCTCTAATGCTGCTTTATAGGCCTGGATAGGGAGAAAAAAGATCAGCTACATTAGTATGTATGTTTATTGATTTTAAACCTCTTTTTGTACTGCAGTTTCATTAATGACACTGTCTTGGTCCACTGCATTATTCAATTTAAATGTAAACTGTATATAAAGTCCATTTCATTAACAAACATACCCCACTGCATTAACAGTAGCTGTAGTTGGCTTGCCTGGTCTACATGTTGATACTGTACCTGTAAAGCACTGTCAATCTTCATGTTGAGCTCCTTCAGCTGGTGCTCGGGGATGGTGGTGTTGTTGGAGCAAAAGAGCTGCTGAACCTGGATGCCTGCCAGGCAGCCATCCCTGCCCCTCTCCCTCAGCCTCGCCGTGGCCTGAGGACACAACAGGACACAACAGAGTTTCGGGTCAGGATGACAGCAGGAACATCTACTCTACAACTACAGCAAAATCTCACAGCAAGCAACAATCACTACATACAGTTTTGCATATTTAAGATTTACGTTTTAGGAGAATGTATAGAACAAAACAAACTGTGTTTTTCAAAAGTCTAGTGGAAAATGTGAGTTTTTACAAGGGCATTCTCTTCTTGTACTGTAAAAACTTTTGAGAAAAATTATGATTTTTTAAAAGATGATATTTAAAAAATAAAGAAAAAAAATAAGCACGTGGTCCTGGTTGTCTTCTCCTATCCAGGCCCAGTTCCCTCCAGGGCTAACACTTTGCATGCCAGGGTTTAACAGGATCAATCAACCCACTATTCTCCTCTCTGCCTCACTGTATACAACAAAGCTTAAAATGGGCCAGGGGGACTGATTAGCCTGCGGATTAGATAGGTCCTCTTACACAACAGCCTCCCTTACACTGGTTGGGGATTAAAGGGGTACAAACATAGAAATGTAAGTTCACAGACGAGCTACCGCCTAGAAAAGAGGAAATAGGAAATTGAGGCTGGAAATCATAAACGGCTGGCATTTCTCAGGAATGTGTAACAAGTTGGTTTTTCACCTCACACAGACAAACCCCACATTTCCAAGACCCAGGCCGAGAAGAGTCCCGGGGCTGTGGCTGCATACCTCAGCTGCACCTTTCCATGAGCGGGAGGCTTCCTCTAGCTCTGTGAGGGGCCCGAGGTCAGAGCTTTGGGAGCGGGCGTTGGCACAGCGCTCCTGGGCCTGGGCGAGAGCCTCAGCCAGGCAGGACTGAGCCACGGGCTGGACCTTCTGCAAAGCCTGTGATAGAAACTGGAAATGGACCTGCATCACCGTGAGGAAGCACCGACCCAGTACCTGGAAAGAGACGACAGGGATTACGGTTACAAAATATGCCAATACTCCTTATTAAAGAGTGGAGTGGCTCAGTGAGGATTTTTGAGACACCAGACAATATGGATACCCTCAGGCTGGGAAACGAACATGTACGTCCACATACCTCTGGAAGTGGTTGAATAATCAACACTGTGTGCACCTTTAAAAGCACTCTTCTTAATAGAACAAGATGTCAAACAACGACTAAATACCTTATCAACTAGTTATTTGAAAGTCTGATATTTTGTATATTTTCAGGACATATTTTCTGTTCTATATGTGAACATTACGCTCAACAGGAGAAGTGGAGTAGCTGCGATATACGTCTGGTTCTCTAAATCCAGTACGGCATGTTGTGCAGGAAGGACATTTGCTTTCGTTAAAGGTTGCAGCATAATAATAAAACTATCTTTCAAAACATGCGACATTTTGGTAAAATAGTGTCACACCATTACATTATTGTCATCTGCCCACAAACAAAAAACACGTGATTTCCAGCAGACTGTCGCCTGGCCATTCCTTTTATTGAGACCAACATGAATCATTAAGAACAACATCTTCCCTCAATCCAAAAGTCGATTACAACATAAATCAACTGAAGTTTATCCAAGAAATCTAAACCCTATTTCCTAACCGTTTGCCACAGCAAATGTCATAATAAGCTCAGTTTTGTCCCACAAATCTGAGAGCCAAAACCATGTGATGAAGCACAATTCAACACACACAACAACTTTCAAAATAAAACATGTTGCCTGGGCAGACTTCAGCTAACCAAACTCGCATGCCCGTGTCAGCATTTGCGGTAAACTGCGTGCTGTAAACAAATCAAATGCGTGAGAATAAGTACAATATGTATTTGTATTTGCAAGCAAAGGACAGATGGGGAACACATTGGATTGAATATGTATGTCAGCATATGAGCGTCTGTAAGAAGGGGTCCAGTCTGTCTACTTATACAGGAAAAACTGGAAAATTGTAGCAAGCAGAGCCATATTTAAAGTTCTGTTGCAGATCAGTCAACATGTGTTTACTGAAATTTGCATTGCTTCTTTTTTTTTTTTGTATTCATTTTCTTTGATTTTTACACACAAATTTAGCAATATGCATAACCGGTAACTACAGTTAAAACACACCGTGTGTTTTAACAAGTCTTTTAGGTTGACGTGCATCATTCCACATCTACTCTGCTGCACGTCCAAGTGTGTGTTTGTTTGTTGAGAGAATAGTTCAGGCTTGGAGGCCGTTTGTTGTCCAGTTAGCGAAATAAGAGAAACAGGACACCACAGGACCCGGCATGGTCACAGGGTTTTCTTTTTCAGGTACCTGCTGAAAATATCTCAAGGGATAGGCCGAGTTGTGAAGACAGAAATATGCTGCTGCTGCTTTAGATGGTAGACAGGGACAACAGGACACAGCCTCTGTCATTCTTCAACTTCACACTTCATGGAAACCTAAACTAAACTGAACTGGAAATGACTTAAGGCCTAAAACCTCTACCAAGTCCTTCATAACAACTACAAAAACAGGAGATGATGGGAAATCCATCGTCCTCTGAAATGCCTGAGCCATGACTTTGGAATTTACTGCCTCAATTTATTGTTTTGTTATTCCATGTCGTAGATTGTAATGGCTGGTAGACCATCATTTCTGCTGGACATTAGCTAGCAAAAAGCTAAATTAAGTGATCCTGGGCTGCCCTAAGACACATACACTACAGAATCGCAACATGTTCAGTTTGAGTCGGTCTCTCTCTTGGCCCTCATTTATCTCTTTTGTGACTACTGTTAAAACGGGAACCACAGGAACCTTTTTCAGTTGTATTTATTTTTTCTGTGTGCACATCAGGTAAGATAAATGCAGATACCTATATAGCTGTGATAGGTCAATATCAGCCGATAATATTGGCCCACTGGTATATTGGTCAGGTTCTAGTTTGAAAACCTAGGTTTTGTCACTGTGGTCCGCTTCAACTTTACATACATTTCCTTTAGTTAAGTCATAATATAAGCACATATCAGTTCTGATATCTCACAATATAAAAAAATAATTCAGTCAGAAGCCATGTCTATTTAATCTTAAATCTGTCCTCCATATCCACAATTTTAGCAAAGCCAAGTGTTAGAATTTGTCTGTGCATTATGAGACACGAACACTAAAATTCAGCTGTAACAGAAAGAAGCAAAAGCTGTATATTGGAAATCTCCAATAAAATTATACAAGTACATCTTTGTTGAGTCCGTGTGCTCAGTGGAGACTGAAAAGTTACACCACAGCAAGCTCAAGGCCGAACTGTTGCATTGTTTTTCTCTTAACGACAATAGCTACTCAGAGAGCCTAAAAGGTCACAGGATTGATACCAAGTGTGTTTGTGTCTGCTTGTCTCCTGTGATATGGTCTTTTCTGTATGTGGTTAAAATGGATAAGCAAAGAAACTATTTTTACATGTCACATGTAAAACTAAAGCCATCAACACACAAAAGCCTTCTCAGTGAGTCAGAATGCTGTCTAATGATGGGTGATGACCTTATTATGCAACTAAAATGACCAAGTGTTAGAGTTGGACTGAAAAGAAAAAAAAAAACTAAGAGTGCAGAGCTAAACTTGCTGCTCTGTGAGGTTTTACTAAGACACAGCGTTGCCAGAACGCTAATGTGATAACATTGTTGTATAATAGGTATGTTTACTGTCTGTGTTCTCATACTTACAGTACAGCCAAGCCTGATGGAATTTTTCTTATTTCTGCTGATAGGTGGTCATGAATATTCATGAATACACATAATATTGGACAAATTGAAACCTTGACACAAAGATGGCGGTTGATGACAGCTCGTGCATTTACACTGTTTGTAGATTTCATACTTCGAGGACCATTCATGTTCATAACAATTTTATATCCACAGCAATCCATCCAGTAGTTGTCCAAATATTCAGACAGTGGTGAAATTTAACTACCGGTGAGTGCATTTACTCAGGTCATGTATTTAGCTAGACTTTTGATGTATTTGTACTTTGCTTAAGTATTTCACTTTAATGCTACTTTAAAATTCCACTCCACCACATTTCACAGGGCAATAATGTGCTTTCTTCTCACATGTATCTGACAGCTTCATTTTCTTTAAAGATTAAGAGTTGAGACAAAGGACAACATGAAGCTTTTAGAATACAACACATTAGTAAAGATGAAACCATTAGTTTCCAAACACCACTAAAAAGCAGTGTATAGTCACGTAAAGTCACTGTGAAACATAACCTCGATGGTGGCATAGAAGGAAACATCAAGCCTGTAAAGATTTATCCTCTGGAGATCATGAACATCTGCACAAAAATTCATGGTAATCAGCGTGTTTCAATCTGGACCAACGTGGTGATCTAAACAACAGGCCGACCGGCTGACACCGCCATCTCTCAAGTTCTAAAAACAACAGCTGTAAAAACGTGAGACCCCGTCCTAATGCTCAGACCTATCACACCATGAATAAAGCACGACGATATACTGCCTTTCCCTCTGCCTCATCCCAACTTATGCCGAGAGACTACATAAACACAGGCTCAGATCCAGAGTGCACAAGATGAGAAATTCCTGCTCCGGCTGTTGACGTCGAGCAACTAATCAGATCTCAATCAGTCAATGGAGATTTAGCGTCTCTGCAAATAACAGAAGACACATATGGCCTGATAATGAGGCTGATATCACCATATGCAGCGTGTCCTAATGACGATAGCAGAACAACATGAACGCAAGCAGACGACAAGATCAAAAACTACTCTAAGTGTTACAAAGGCAACAATAACCGAGCGAGGGAAAAAAAAAAAAAAAATGAGGACATGGCTACAGCACAAGATAATGGATAACACATGTGATTGGCTGCGCAGTATCCCACACAGTCATGGAAAGTATGAGAAATAAAGAGTGCAGCGGAGCCAAGCCAATGTTGGCCCGTCTCAAAACCCAACAAGGCCACTCGTGAATCAATCATCAACATTTGTACTTTTACTTTCTGTGAGCACCTGCACTATCAGAGCACCAAATCTAGGAGAGGACTGTTGTTGAGATCCAGACCTTTTCTGGGGAAGGGGAGTGTGAGGCTGTAATAATAACCAGATGGTCGCATGGTGAGGCAGCACCGCTGTCTGATCTGTGGAAAAAAAACAACAAGCAGCCTACCTCGGCCGGTTAACGTCGGTGGTCAAGCTTTATCTATCGCTGCCTCCCAAGCCTTTATTTTTCATGTCTTTTTCCCAGGTCTTCCCTCTTACACAATCGCTTCATAGAAACAGGATTGTCACAACTATCTTGACCCCTGAGTTTCTTAGAAATGGTCACTTACATATGGTTGTAATCGACAAAGTAAAATGGATTTACTGCTGCACTCTAGAGTCTTTCTGGCTCGGACCTCCTGATCTGAATGAGTGTAGCTTAAGAAATTAAATCGCACAGTTTGGCTAAAATGAGGTTATTATTCAAAAGGCACAATAATGAGGTGCTTTGCGGAGGTTTCTCATGACAAAACTTGTGTTTATATGCATTTATTCTCTTAAAAAAAGACAACAAGTTCTGAAACTACTGTATGCATGTAGTACTGTATTGTGAAATCATACCACCAAACTGTTTATCATCATTTTTGTGTTCAGGATTTTTTGAGCAGGTCAGAAGTCAAGGTTCAATGGCACACTGGATCCTTATTTTATATGATCTCTCCCCCTTACAGTATAATGTTATGAAAACTAGAGCACAGCAGCATCAGTGGCTCTTCTGTTGATGGCTAGTTACACACCTACGACAGCCCACGGCTGGCTAGCTAGTTTTGTGCAGCAAGTGCATCTTCCCTTTGTCCAAGTGACAGAAATATTCTGTGGTTGGTGATTCACATCGCACCTGTCAGGTTAAAACAAACTCAGGTCTGTGTGTTTAGTTTAGTGCAGTTTATGTGGACTGAAGCAAAAGTCGTCAATTAGCACCTTTGATGGACACACCCCAGTGTTTTAGTGCTTTTTTTTATTTTGTTGTTGTTGTTTTTTTTTTTATTTACAGTTTTGAAACCTAATTTTATACACTTGTCAACTTCTTGAATTATTCAGAGGGCACTAAATTGAGGTTTTTATGGCAAAAAAATTTCACGCCAGGGAACCTCCTCGTTGGCTACATTTTTCCACTGTTAAGACGACTCCATATCCACAAAGAGAGTCCTGACTGTGTTGACATCAAGGTCATTCTGAACAACACATTTTTACTTATCAAATTTGCAAAATTTCATATTTTAGCTCCTACGTTGTTTACATCCACGTTAGCCACTTCTTCTTACTCATTTTCATGCCCTCTGCTGCATTACTTGTTAGAACCACCAAGTTGCAATGGGCACATCATGATACAAAAAGAACAAGGACTCAACCCTGGTCAAAACTCTGTGGGGGGGTTTTAACCCTTTTTTCTATGTTGGTCTGAACTTAAAACAGGAAAACACCCAGAAATGCTGTTACACCAACCTCACAAACTATTCCAAACATTGTTGTACACTTAAATCTATCTCATGAAATTTCATGTGTTCTATTAGGTCGAAGTTTTTAGCACTTTCTCAAATGTGCTTTTCATGTTTTTATCCTCCATCTTTTTTCCTTTTACTTCAGGATATTGTCAAGAAACCAGCAAAGTTGTAAAAAAAAACAAAACAATTATTTTTAAATGGCAGGATTGTTTTGAACAGCCAAAGACCAAGGTGTTGTTTTTTCCAGTGTTTCTAGTGTGCAAGAGGTTGAGAATGCTTTTACAGTTGTCTGACTAGAGCAGCCATGAAGGTTTCTCTGGTTGTGGGGACATCTCTGTCTGCCTCTAGTCTTCACTCTGTGGTTTAAACTTACAAGCTCGGCAAACGGCCTCTAAACAAACCGTGACATTTTCATGCATATTTGGCAGTGGAGTCGCTCTGAGCAGCCAGAAAACCACGCTCTGTTTTGGAAAAAAAAAAAAGTCAGTGGTTTGTTTTGTAGACTGCACTGACCTGAACTTTTGGGGCTCTTGGTTAAAAAAAAGGGGGCAAATGACAGCAAGGGGAAAAGGAGACGTGAGCAAGGGAAAGAAAGGGGGAAAAGCCTCACATACCACAACTCCCCAAACTCAAAAATGCATTTGGTTCTTTTTGAAGACCTCATAATACATCCAGCTGCCAAACAGCATTCCTTGATTCATGCAGGCAAAAGGAAAATCCCTTTTACAGTCACAAACACATCACATTGTAAGAGACAGACTGAATTAGCTGCAATTATCACGAGCTGGGTCTAAACAAGTTTTTTTTTTGTATGCGCACAGAACAATTTTTGTCTTCCAAAGAAACCATGGGAGATAGTAGCGTAGATATTTCTATAAAAACAATGCACTACTTGCAGGAACACAAACCCAGGCGATACATGACTCATCACCAAACCATACAGCCATGTGGTCAACTCCAGTCTGACAACTTTCTGCTTTGTTTACAATGCCATACAATAGAAATGAAATATTTTACTGTAAAAACAATTTTAAAAAACAAATGAAAAACGTTCAAATGGCACATTATGCTTCACTCTACCAGCATAATATCACTGTGTACATGGAGTGTTTTTTTCAAAACAATTAACACACTGGAATAAGGCCATTGTAAAGTATTAATGTGTTTCTTTCTATGCTTTAATAAATGTAGCCTTTATGCCCGGGGCCAGACACTAAATGCGAGTGCCAAGCCATGTGGTCTAAACATTCACAGACTTGGGCTTCCTCTAATATTCATCTGTGCATATCCAAGACCACAGAGAGTCAGATTTACCGACTGCGGTGCAAAAGTGTTTCCTGTTTTGGGCTCAGCCACATCCACTGAGGTTCTGCAGTCCCTCCAGTGTCTTGGCCGCTGTCGTGTACCCGCTCCCTGCTACACGATAATCCTTTATCATGTAGCAGGGAGTGGGTACACGATCGCCATAATTTCAGCTTTACATTGTTAGGTTTTAGCTACACAGAAAAGTGTGGCACAATGCTACAGTTCTTGCTTTGTTTTTGTTTTTTTTAAGCACAGAATTGGACAAGACGGATTAGAAAAATCCTTGGTCTTTTCTCAGCAAAAATTTACATTTCATTTACAAAAATACATTTTAACAGTCACATTATTTAACAGTAATTACAGGGAACTTTCAATCTGTCCTGTTATTACTAAGTTTGAATCCCTGTAACCTGATTATCCTTAACTGTAGGCCTCTTGTTGCCATCAAAAGACAACAGTGTCGTGGGAAAGGTGCAGAGAGCCTCACTGGTTGTTGCACAAGTTCACAACTGTGCAGTAAATGAAGGCTACGTCTATAAACAGGTGTAGAAATCATTAAGATATTTGAGGTTCAATCTGGGGGCAGCTTGACTGTGGCGCACAGATAAAAATACAACTACTTGCTGCTGAGCATCACATAAGAGACCATCTACTACGGCAGCACGATTACAGCAAAACTGACAACTGGAATTACGATGATAAATACCATAAGTGACACTTTCCATAATTATCCATTCATGATTATTATTTCTAAAGGCACAGGCACCTGGGAAGTCTCTTCATTTTTGAATCACTTTTTCCCGATCCTTTGCAGGCACATATTTCACACTGATGCTATAACCTAAAATGAACCCATGTTTGAGGTCTGAGTTATCCAACCTGCCTCCATGAACCTCCTGACCCAGGTTTTCAGTGAGACTAACAGTGTCTAGATTTAGTACAAAAGCGAATGGTATTTCTACACTATTTTCTTAGTGACAACTAGTTCTCTCAGCCACGGTTTGCAATATCGTTCATGTTGTCTTTGGTATCTGACGAAGTCCTCAACTCTGCTGATTATATGTATTTATTTAAGATGTGAGCGAGGAACTGCAAACCCTTTGCGTGTGAGACAGTGCCGACCACAGCTTGACCAATGTGTCACACCCGTGAGTGTGTTTATCCCTCTTTGACTTTTAGGGAAAGTTTTTGAAAAATCCAGCGATGAATCAAGAGTGACACCAGACAAAGGGACAAAAACAACAAAGTAAAGGAAAGAGACACATGCAAAAGGAATTTAAGACCAAGACAACCGATTCCCACATCACAGCTGACTCTGTGGTTATTTTGTGCACCAGTCTCCAAATCCGCCCTTAAACTCACATGAAGAACACCTCAGCAACAACATTCAACATTTTGCACATCAGCAAATTCTGTGCTGCAGAAAGATGGTGTGGTATTCAGAGTGACAAAAGATGACTTTTCTTCTCATATCCTCAGTGTTTTTCACACCTCACCCTCAGATCTTGACACCAGCTTAACACTGGGCGTGAGAATCCTGTTTGAGCCAGGAAACACTGATTCATGGAGCCAGTCCCCTGACAGAGTGCAGCTAAGCATCTTAGCACCACTTCGAGAAGACGAGTCATGGGTAAATGAATATGATAAAGTATGTGGTGCTTAACTGTACCAGGTTGTAAAACCTTTTTTTTTCCAGAAGCGCAAAGAGTAAATGTGGATTTCAATATTTTTATGTGGAAAATATAAGACAGTCATTTTCCTGAAGTGCACACAATTTGACAAACTTGTGCATAAACACGTTCAACAACTGGGTATAATGCGACTGTATGTGACTGTGTGTAAGCACCTACCTCAACATCCTGCAGGCTGAAGTCGTTCTGGTCTTTAAAGTTGGCAGCCCCAGCGCTCAGCTCCATCAGCATCTTGGCGATTTCAGGCTTTATTGCTGCAGTCAGCCTGCTGGCCGCCTCCATGACGTGTTCCTGCACGTCCTTCAGTTGCATAGCTGCTTTGGAATAGTGAGAGTTCCTGAACACACTGCTGAACAGGTCTGTGAGGAAGGCGCTGGCCCGGCAGAACACGTTGAGGGCATCCAAATATTTGGAGATGCCTTGCTGGATGTCGGCAACAGCGGTGGTGGCGCCAGAAGGAGGTGGGTGGCAGCTGCCAGGCATGCCCACCCCAGTGCCCATGGGCGAAGAGGCAGAGCAAGAGGAGGCCAGAGAGGCGCTCAGGGTCCGGCTCAGCTCAGGCATCTGGTACTGCTGGTGCTGTTGCACTTTCTGCTTGGACCCGCCGAGCAAAAAGCGACGCTTGTAGTCCATTTTACTTTCCTGCGCACTACAACAATACATAGGTGGTGCAGCAGCACCGGAAGCTCCTGTTTGTAGTTTGTTCTTCCCCGCAAAGTGCTCTTGTCCTTTTTACAAAAACACCAAATCCAACAGTCCTGAAACTGTTCAAGTTAAATAGAAAGACAGCTCAAGGATTCCACCTGCCAGAGACTCATCTCAGTGTGCCTTGTAGAAGGGCAACACAGAAGTGGGTGAGGCCGAGAGGGTGATCAAAACTGGCAGGCTGAGTAAAATGCTTACATGCAGCCCTGCTGCAGATACGTCATAGCCAGCTTAAAAAACAACAAAGACACACCCCCAGATTCTCTGTTTTCAGCTTCAAACAAAATGATCATAATAGAGGAGGAAAAGTACTACAGCCAAGTTTTAAAGTGCTCTTACTTTCCTTCAGAATGGGAAAAAAAAAATCCTTCTTCATACAGTATATAGAGTATATACATATATATATAGATATATATATAGATATATAAACCTATACCAGTCTGCAATGGTAAAAGTAGAAAAACCCTTTTAAAAGCAAAACTGAATCCAAGGAAAATGACACTGGTCAACAGCACAGAGGGACAATGACTATTAAAAAAAGAAGAAGACGAAGAAGAAGAAGAAGAAGAAGAAGCACGTAACTGCTGGAATCAGAGAATGTGGCTTCGTGTTGTCTTTTGCAGTGGCTGGCAGAGGAGCAGTGGGAGGCGAAGGGCAGACAGATCCAGTCCGTCACAAATCCTCTTCATAAAGCAGGACTCGGCAGGCAGTGAGCAAGCGGCCAGCTGATAGCTCGGTCTGCCTGTATGAAGTCTCCAGCAGCTTCCTGGTTTCTCCCCTGTCTGCTGGCTGAGGTAGATATTACTCACCGCGGAAACAAGTGTGCTTCCAGATCTCGCTGTTCTCTGCGGATGCAGATTAGAGCGACAAAAGCACAAATGTATCTGTAAGGCCTCTAGGTCATTTCCTAAGGGAGGAAAGAGCAGAAAGACAGAAGAGAGGTTTAACATCATGTCAAAGAGGAAGGATGGGGTTGAATTTAACTGCTACACCCTCAGAGTTACCTGGACTGCCCTCAACATCCTATGACCAGTACATGTGCAGCTAATTCTGTTGATTACACACTTGAACATTATGTAGCGTGACAGGAATACGATGAGTCAAATAATATGTCATTGGAAATCATAGGTCAAGCATTAATTCATATTTTAACTTAAAAAACAACAACAACAACAAAAACTTCCTGGCTGATGACAGTGCGAGCAGTAGTGAGTCAGCACTGTGCAGAAACATTCTGTCACAATACAACCATGATATTATGTATTGTGGATTCAGTAACAGCACTGGTCTTAATTCAGAAACATTTATATGAATAGAATAATATGAATGTTTTTTCACTACTAGCAAACAGAAGTCCAACATGTTGAAGCATGTTGGTGGATTCACACTCTGTGCTGAACGACAGGGTCTGACTGCTGACCAGAAATGGCTGTTTCCCTTTCTTACAGCGGCTCCATGTCGTAACATTCACCTTTACCACAATCTACTTCTTGTAAGATAAACGTTACATCTGTCTTACAAATACACTGTGAGAACACACCTCCTTCAATTCTATGCAACTTCTTGTGCAAGTGTGATCTACAACAAACTTTATTTATTACATTGTGCATCAAATTATTATACTTATCGTGAGCCATTCAGTTCTGTGTTGAGACATGTTCAGTCATGCACAATAACTTGTTTTAGTTTCGTTCAGTTGCGGCAACAAGGATTCATTGATGATATGAAACCACAAAGATAAATTTTAACACCCATTCCGGTGGAAAGTATCAGCTGTTGCAGCGGCACATAAAAAGCTGTTATTCAGCTGCTCTGATTGGAGGAGGAGGATTTCAGCTACGCTTCTCTAAACTCGGTGGTAATATTTTCTTACAGTTTAATAAAAAGCTGCGGTTTAAAGTTGTACATTTCTAGACGATTACTAACACCATGCCTCACAGAGAGCGTCTCTGCAAAGAATCTCCGGCAGTGTCTGGTTTAGCAGAACACAGCTGCAGAGAGAAATTCCTGCAAGAAGCCATTGTTGGAAGACACTGCGGGGTCTGTTGAGCTACACATGGTAGGAGTCACAATACTCTCTTTCTGTGTGACTTTTCCGTCTCCCTTTGGCCTTTTCACTTGATTGGGAATATAATATTTTACACCATCAATATCAAAAGGGCATTTGATGTTTCATCTCTTTCTACAACTAACTCTAGCTTGCAACTGTCGACCAATGTAGTCTCATTGAAGACTAAACACAGCTAAAGACTTTGGGTTAAGTGTTGAAAAAGTACGATACTTAACCCAATCAGCAGTCATTTAAAATGAAATATGCAAACTAAATTACAAAAACTACCTTTGTCAATTATGGTTTGAGTAAAAAATACCTTAAATCAAGCCCAGAAAACAATGCATTTATCTTCTAGCCATGTCCATCCACCCACAAGAAACATGCATTCATGTATCTGGAGGTAAGCATTCCTGGATGGCACAATGGAGTCAGTTTTCTACATTTTTAGTTGTATTGTAGGCCAGCTGGTAGCTTCCAGAGAAAACCATCCTCACTAAAACTGTTCCTTTGCTATGCAGAGCCCTAGTTGGCGCTAAAGTTGATACAGACACACTCCTGATAATATTGCAGTCAATGGGACAACAGACAGCATCCTGACAGACGAGTCTCTTAGAAACACAGCTCAGCGATGATTCCGTGGAACATTTAGACCATGTTATCTTCTAGCACCACACTGGAAGCTTCTGTGTTTTAGGGTGAGTCAGGAAACGCAACTTGTGGAAAGAAAATACCACCCCAAACTAGATAATACCATCCAGCATGCTGTCATTGTAGCTGAAGCAGCTGTGGAGTAGCTCTGCATGCATAGTAGCTTCCATTACGCATCTCCGCCAGCATTCTCCTGACCTTCAAACCTCACTTCCTTTCACAAACAGAGGGGTACGCCCAGCTTAAAAAAAATAAAAAAATCAGCCCACCCTTATCTGTGTTGGGCCACTGGGTTGAGAGACAGAGCCGAGGGAAACTACTGACCTCCTCATGAAGGGACAAGAGAGACATGCTTCCCATTTTTAACTCTTACATTACAGCAAAGCTGGTAATATTACATTTATTATTTCAAAAAGCTGCTCTGAAGTCTCTCTTCTTACAAACACAATCACACACCTGTACACTGCAGTTAACAGTTTAATCTTGCTGCTAAAACACTTGGTCTGTCTGTGTCAAATGTTTACGACTTAAAAAGCTTTCACTGGTTAGGTTATATTAAATATTTCTTCAATTAATCATTTAGTCTATGAAGTGTCCAAAAATGCTCATGACATTCTCAGAGGTAAATGTAGCGTTTTTAAATGTTTTATTTAATTTGTCCAAATATGCTTTTTTGCAGTGCTATATGACAGAAAATCCTATAATTTCAAAGGGTTGGAATTTCAGAATATTTGACATACTTTCACAATTTTTTTCCTGAAAAATGACTAAATTGTACGATTTGACAGAGAGCACGATTACTCCACATACGATAACGGTAATGAGTTTGTGTTTCCTTTTACAGAAATCCATGCATTTCCCTATGAACAATCCAAATTATTACTTTTTTTTCTTTTTTTAAAATTCTCTATTCTTATCATTTTTGGACTGAGTAAAACCCTTTTTGGGGACACCACAAATTATTTTATGCAGGAAAACCTCAGTTCAAAGACGATGACAGTAGAGCAGTCGTCTCCAGGTCGACTGGTCAACTGGTTGGTCCATATCCTCTCATCCAAATTCTTATCGGTTGGACAGCTGTTGCACACTATAGGTGAATTTTGTGTGGAAAAAGAGTCACATGATGCGGTAACACCCCTTTTATGTGAACGCACAAATTTTAGGTTTTGTCGAGCTTAGCTATGCCAAACTTGATTTATACATTCCTCTGGAGAGTCCTGGGTGTAACTTCACATTGCAATATAAACTCCAATGGACAGCACATTGGACTTCAGCTAAACTTTAACATGTACGCTTACTAACAAACTGACGTAATGTTAAAGACGTTGTCAAGGTGGCTGAATGTTGTAAATACAGATGGTCAAAGAGTCAAGTGTAAACTTTGCATATCAGAGAAACCACGGTGGCCTATCATTTAAAAACAATCGGTTAACTTGTCTGCAAAAAACTGTAGCCTAATTTGTCAGTACTACTTGTGCTGGAATCTCCAGTTGATATATTTTCAGAAATTAAATAAATATGGGCAGGAGCACAATCGTCTCTTTTGAGTCTCTTATTACTGTCTCAGTATAAAATAACAAGGTTATGATTACTCAGCATGCTGCAAATATTACTGTTTTATGTTTATTTAGGATTCATTTAGGCTAATGAAGCTAGCAGGTCACTCAGAGCACTGTGGGCCATTTTGTTCATGTAGATAACATGCAGATTTTTTCCCCCACAAGCAGTCACCTGTTTGATGAGTAGGTACGATTTCAGTCACCCATGATTTTCTTTGGTTGACTACAGCCCTAGAAGAAAATTTTCCTTTAAGAAGAATTTGCTAAGGTAACAGCAGACACAAATGTATACTTGACAGTCAAGAGCAGCTAACTCGTGCAATAGTGCAGACTTCTAAATCCCAGGATTACAGTCACAGTGACAACCTGCCAGGTGCTCCAGTACCTGTTAGTTGACATAGTTAATAGGATATTACTTTCTGCAAGTTAGACAGGAAACTTGAGCTTAGCTAGCCTGGGGCTAACTACTCTAGTTCTCACACTTTTGAGCTAACTGATAGGCGGGAAAACAGGAATACGGTATGCTCATCAAGTTGTTTGGAAGAACAGGAATCAGGTCAGTGAAGCCACCACACTACAAGGAACAAAACTGACACTATTGTCAAAGAAAGAAAGAAGAGGAAGACTTTGAAATATCTAGAACTGACCATGGGCAGTGGTGAGACAGTTTAAAACACCCGAACAGTGGTAATCCAAAACTACAGCTTGACATTGATTAACATAATGATAGTAAAAACATTCTAAATCACATGGATTTTCCTAGATTACCTGTAAAAACTTTAGAACAACTTGTACACGATAAAGTTTGGTATAAAGATGCAGTATGGTATTAGGATGCGACTTGTGGCATTGGATGCAAACTGTTCTGAAAGTAAAAACATTGGTTTAGTCAGATGTAGTTTTATGGCTGAACCACTAAAGTAACAACAGATTAAGTGCAGTGAGTCACAGTTGATTCAGCCTGAAAAACAAAGCCAGATTTTTGGGGAGAAAACTGTGTGCTACTTGCTTTGATTCATGCTTGTTCCAGGCAGATACAATTAAACCATGTAACATTATTAGAGAGTGTTAGTGGTCCACATTTCCTTCCTGGCTACAAAACTCCGTAAGCAGAGGTTATCCCAGGAGAAAGAGGCATGGCATGAATATTAATGAGGCCTGCTGGCTTCTGGAGGTAACTCTGTTGGCTGCCAGCCTCTTGTTGCAGGGCACACTGTATCAGAGATTGCACCCAAACAAACACATGTGATGAGAGTGTCCCTCCGGATGCACTGGAGTGGTGCCAGTTCACTTTAATGTCCTTCCTCCAGCAGGGGCTGCTTAGGGCTAATGTTAGCTCTACTTCCCCACTCACCGTACATGTCAGCTGCTCGGCTTCAACAGGAAGGGGGTTTAAGTTTCCTGGAGCAAGCTCCCTGTCGCCAGTAACAAAAACGTCAAGCCAAGTATGCCACTGGGTATGGGTATGTAGTAAATCATAGCACAGGGCATGATTTACCTGTCTGTGCAAAGCGTTGGGTAAACAACTGCGGCTACCGACACACCAACTTAAAAAAAGAAGTGCCTTTATTATAAGGAGTAGCCACAAGCACTAAAAAATGCTGGCGAGGTTTCAGGGTGTGATACAATTTTGTAGTTTCCATTAACTCAGTCTATTAATCTCAAAAACAAAACAATTCAACATTTATTTTCTGAGAAATTACACTAATTATGTGTCTCAATTCACCACATCAACCTGGCTTGCTTTCATACTGTGTCACATACTCAAACCTGCGATGCTTGTGGCACCCGGTGCATCCGTCCCCTCGAACTACCGACCGCTGAGCAGTTCCACTCCAGCATTGCAAGCATTTGCTTTTTATTTTATTCACTTTCCTAACACAGATTTCCCAACAGATTTGACATAATGAACCAGTCAACCCTGCAGCCACAAGCCCACTTATGTAACCTTCAGGAACACTGCCATTCATGGTACCAACAACGGCAGTTACTTTTGGATACTCAGCCGTATTTGTGTGACTGTCACATCACAGCTAAGGTGGCTTAATAGCTGTGGATGGGGCAGCTGTTACCCATGCTGACAGCTCCTTATCCATCTGCCACTGTGAGGCAAACACAAGCCCTCTGATGCTCTAGCCACAGGCCCGACATTAGCTCTCTCATGAAGTCTATTTCGGCCTTCATGGGTAAAACAGCTGCCCTACAGTCCACACTGCACTGTTTTTAGACACTCCAAAAGGTTCAGCTCAAAGTAAAAAAATGTTCTCCTCTACATCTGTTGCCAATGAAGCAAAGGAATGCATCTCCCCAGAACCCTCTTAATGTGGGTTCAAATGATCGCAAAAAAGCCGGTCAGAAAAGCCCACGATACGTTGCGAAACATCCCCACAAAACGTCATGTAGCTGTGTAGTAGACATATATAAAGTAAACTAATTGAGTTTTGCAAAGCAAAGCTCAGGCTGTGTATTTGCCAGGAGACGCTTCACTGAAGACATTCCACAGAGCAGATAAGTCACAGTGAAGTCTGAGAATCAGCAGACAGGTCGAGGAGGTCAGTCCAAATGACAGGACAAGTGCCGTGAGCAACTGTGTGACAGGAGCTGAGCCAGGCTCCTCTTGCCCACAGAACACAAGGAAAGTATTGTGGCAGCCCTGGTCTCCTCATACCAGCGCACAGAAAAAAAAACACACACTCGCACATGCAGCTGCATGACTTTGTGAGAGGAAGAGAAAAATAAAGGCCTTGGCTATGATTTAATATTAACTGCAAGAATAGATTTTCTGTCATCAGTGTAGTGTTTCTCCTGGAATTATTTAGCAGGCAGCTGCAGGTTCTAGTGGTTATGGGCAATGTTTGGTTTAGTTCCCACAACTAATCCTGTTTTGGTCACACTTTTGTTCTTGTGGTTTAGACTAAATATACATTTTCTTTGATACTCAGTTATCACTAAATGTTCTTTTTTTTTTTTTATACACTTCTTCTGTGAAATCATAGCCAACTCTGCTGAACTGCATTTGTGCAGATTCTACACTTTTTAAAGCAGTAGTGAAACCTTTCCTCCTGCTGAAACAAATCCCTATTGAGTAAGTCAGGACAAAACCTACTACCCATATCAGTAAAGAGGCTGATACAGCTGGCTGGATAATATTAGGCTAACCTGTACTGTCATAACAGACATTGTAAGTAGCTTATGGCTCCAATAAAAATAGCAGACAGGCCACTCTAACAAAGGACATACTTGAGGGCCCCACAGGTCTGTGTCACACATGCAAACAGACATTTCAACATGTTCCTTTCCCTTAATCAAATTATAACACCGCATTCCAACACCCTAACATGAAAAAACAAACATCATTTTACGAATTAATTAAAAGTCTCACCAGGGGGAGTAAAGATGACAAATGACATGGGCACATTTATGTTAATTCATGAAAAGATTCCCATCTGATTTAATCTAATCTGAGCCTTTGCACAAAGCATAAATGCCTTTCAGCATTCAACAGTAAGCAAACACAACAAGCTCCGATATCTTCTCCAAACAACGCTGTACAATAGAGTGTGTTTAGTGTGCCCAACCGGTGGGTTTCAACAAGTGAGAGCTGTGATGAAAGGCTCTGACGTCAGTTCCATTCATGAAAGGCTGGTGGCAACCTGTGTGGATGAAAATGCTTCCCTCAGCCTATATTGAGCAGGCTGTATACTGAGGTTGCAGGCTGTGTTGCATGCCAGCCACCAGGGAGCTGTATTTTTAGCCAGGACAAAAGTAAGAATTTATTCTTCCACTTTCGGCACAATGAGACAACACATGGAGGTGCCACAGAAGTTAGAAAAGTATGTTTGGTCACACGTGCAGCACAAGAAAATCAAGATAAGTGTAGCAAAAAGTATAGAGTCACAGAAAACTACAACCCTTCACACAAAAGAGAAAGAAAGGTTCCCTTTACTACTGATGGCTTGAAGACAGTAAAATACGTTGACAGGTATGATACAGGGTCTGGACTAAGGACCCAGACTTTTACACGTGATCGTGGTTCGAGTCACTGCTGAAATGCTCCTAAAAAATAGATATGAAATCTTTATTAGAGCCTTTATTTGCTCTCTGGAAGCTGACTCTCAATTCTGACCTGCTCATGGAAAAGGACAAGCAAAATATTTTCTGCAGGGGGTTAATAAAGCTAAGTTTCACATTACATGAGAGTTTCATGGTAGCCTTGATTCTTGTTATATTTGATCATCTCGGGTGCATGAGCAGTCATGCATCTCACTGGGAACATTTGACTGAGGGGCAAATAGCTGACCACAAACTAAGACTAAACTGGTTTCCCAGGAGACAAGGGTGAGATTTCCCATGCCACAAGCCCTATCTGTAAAAGCCAGTAGCTGCTCCGCTATGTGGACTGGCCTCTGACTCAGTTATGTATAGAAAACAGTCGATTTCTTTTAGCTACACAAAATAAGCTGTGCTAACCAAGCAGCAGTGGACGTAGATCTGAAACATCCCCTGCTACAGAACAAGCACACCCCTGCCCTGTTTGCACACACCAGCGCAAATAGTGTTGTTAGTTTTGTGCATCCAAAGGAAAATCCTCTCTCACAACACAAACTAAAAACACACAAGCCTACATCTCTGTAATGCACTGGTCGGCAAAACATGTTGAAGGTGGCTATTACCCAACATGATGAATGAACTGCATCCAAACCACGCTTTGCTTGTAATTTGGTCAGAGGTGGATAACATGGTCTGGATAATGCAGACCATTTTACACTCTTTTTTTTTTTTGGATAGACTCTAATTTTGATGAGTGTCTGGGTCTAATTCTGACAAAACAAAAATTAGACTCCCAAAATGCTGGATTGATTCTATAGGGTTCATCTAGTTTAGTCATTTTATCAGGATTTCTTCGCTTTCCTTTTTTTTGCTCTACAGCAGCAGGAGGTGTCCCGATCAGTAAATACAGTGCAGCTACACATCTGAACTTTGGGGACTCTAAGCCAGTGAGTCACAAAATGTTACAACAGGTTTACAGTTTTCAATTTTTTCGAAATAAAGCATCACTAAAGGAAGGATATACTATTTTTTCAGAGCATCAACAAGTGACACTGAAGTAAGAAGCCTTGATATATAATAATTTATGCTTGGGCTTGTTTGTTTTTTCTAATGCCAGTGACAGTTTCTTTACAATTAATAGTCAATTTAATTGACGTTAAATTGTGCAGCTAGTACCAACTTTAGCTTTATGCCTTCGTCTTACCATGGATGTTAATGTGATGCCACAGTATCAAAGCATGAACAAGTTGACAAATCTGACATTTCCTGCTAATTAAAGTATAACCCACCAAATCATACCTAACTAAGAATAAATCTAGATCAAGGAAGTCCTGGTGGAAGCCACAAATTGAAGGTGACATTTAGATTTATTCCTTCAACACCTGTTGTTCCTTTGATACTATCTTGAAGAAGACAGCTTTGTCAAAATCTCAGCACTCAGAGACAGCACAGTAGGTGGCCACGGAACAAAAGAATAAAATGCAAAAATGCTAAATAAGAACAAAATGCAAAAGCTTAATTGATCTGTCTGATCCAGCAGAGGAGAATAAAGTAAAAGTCAATAAACAAAATGAAAGAATTCCTAATAATAACATGGTCTGAGCCATCTCCTCATTCCCCCTGCAGAGTCTCCTCTGTAACACTCACCTGTATAATCTAGTGAGCAGCAACAGAAACACTAGAAAGCTCCTTTTGTTTAGGGAAATATCATTCAGGTCTGAAGTGGCTGTGCTCCACCCGAGGCAAGCGCAAACAGTAATCTTGTGACTGTATGTCGACTTCCTCACACATGCATCCGGATTCAGTGTTAGACTAAGGAAAAGTGTCACTCTTGGACATATCACGTGTTGACAACAGAAAAAAAGAAACAACAAAAACAACCGAAGCCTTGTACTAGTCTAGCAGCTATGATGACCATTCAGGCACACAGCTGAATGAGCTATTGAAGAGAATGAGTTTAAGCAGAGACAGGAATTTTGCAGAGCAAAGCACGTATTTCCATAGTGACACAGCTGTGGCAGATGTCAACACATAGGTCTGGGGCTGTTTTTAATGAGAGGTGTCAAAGCCTGCACAAGTCAACTAAAAGAGAACAATGGCCTCACCATGAACGCCAGCTTCTTATGTGTACGCCTGCTTTAAGGTCAAAACTGTTATTGGCTCCCAACCAACATCAAAAACTTCCCCACAGTCCTATCCCCAGAAACAACTTTCAACATAACGCAAACTTTAAAAGGTCAGAACTTTTTACAGCTATTTCTCAATGTAGATAACAATAGTTTGCTTTGTAAGGCAACCAACTTAAAACCACCTCTTCCACTACATTAGAATAAAATGAAGGTCACACAAGCCCACTAACAAAATCTGATTCCTGCTTCAGACTACAACAAGCATTTTCCCCAGTGAGACAGGATTCATACAATCATGACAGAAGCTGACTTTCAGATTCCATCAGCTGTTTGTGACAAACATTTCGCAGCCATGAATAATATTTCCTCCAGAACAAAAACAACAACGCACAGACACCTGCAATCACTGACTGCAATCATGATCTAATCTTCTGGGCTGCTTCTACTTTCTATATACTACAAGGACCAAAACAAGAAAAACATTCCACATGATGCCAAAAGACAGACACCTGGCTAGACTGGATGCCTACACCCCTCCACAGAAGTGGGGCAACGTTATTTATTAATGCAATTCCAGATATCTCGTCTGTACTGTAGAGACTATATAAAGCCAACATCAGCGTAAGTTACTGATTGTATGTACAAATATTTACACTCAACCTATAGAGGAGGGTGAAATAAATAGGTTTCTTGATGTTGTGGTGCATGAGCCACAACGACCACAACAGCGCAGTATGTGTGTGTTTTTTTCTCATCGGAGGATACGATTACAACAGTAGTTCCTGCTGCTCTCTACACGGTATTAAACACTATTACAGTGACTGGCTACTAATGCAACAGCGAAACACGGTTTTGATACTTAAGCCTGAGCCCCTAGTGAGGCAGAAAACTAACTAGTTTGTTAGTCTGGTTCTCCCCATGGGGTTATTTTAAACCTCGATCACTATTTAGCAGGAAGGTGTAACAGAATCCCCGCAAGCGCAGTTAGCCGGTTTCATCGAAACTCTCCGGGACGACATGGTCACAGTCATGGGAACACTATGTCGCAGCTATTAATACGGCCTTTTAACGCCCTAAATGCAGTGTCGCCGGAAAGGCTTCCGCGGCATCAATGCATCAACACGGCAAACGTTTAAAAAAAAAAAAAAAAAAGCGAGTGACAGGAAAACGCCACGGTGCACACAGGCGGTAGGTGCCCAGCACTGGGTCGGCGGCATTCCCGTCTTTGACACTCGCCCACTGGCTTACACACAAGCAGCCGCTCGCCAGCTAGCAAACGAGCGGCTGCACTTTCCCTAACGCGCTGCCAGGTCAACACCAACGGTAAATCACGGCTCCGTCGGCCGTTTCCCTCACGTTAACCTACATTCCATTTTAGTGCGGCGGGTGATTACCGACTGCGGCGCATAACTTAAAACCAAGACCGTCCAGATCCGTTATCGGACAGGCAGTCAAACCGGGTCGCCGCTAATGCTAAAGCTCATTATGTCGCCCTCCTGTCTTACCTGCACTGCCGCGGCTAAACCGTGTCAGGGCACGGATCGAATCTGAAGCATCGCCCGCAGACACCAGTCGGCGGCGGCGGCGACAACAGAAATAACCGATAGCGCCAATCGCTCCTCCTTCGCTAGCCGAGGCGGATGCGCTTCATCAGCAAACATCAAATTGGGGTCGCACGCTTCAAATATGTCACATGCTTCTGCAGCCCTCTCTGAAAACATTTCTCCGACTGGTGATGGGGTTGTAAGATTTCAACTACGGCGAGAAATGGAGGCACGCATGACAGAGTGAGGCGCGTCCGATAATGGACGCATCAGCGTTGCATCGGCACTAAGCGGGCTAGCTACATAGCTAAGCGAGCTAGCGTTAGCTACCCAGCTAGCTCTCTGCGACACGATTGTAAGCGCTGCTAGAAAGCACAAGCTAATGTAAGCGGCCCAGCGGTGCTCCAACACAGACCGACAGCAGCCAGGGCTACCGTGACCGAAAAGGAACCACAAAGCTTCAGCAAAACACGGGGAAAATGTTAGTACACGTTAAGTTAATCAAAGCATCGCTCACCAGCTCTAGGCATCCACCCTCTTGACAGCGAATTCCCTGTCTGTGTGAGCCGTCAGCAGCGCAGCAATAAACACACACACTGCTGCTGCTCAGACCTTCACAGTAAAACCGGCACAGAGACACAAAAAACCAACAACGTGTCTCAGTAAAACCACCGGTGGAAATATGCTCGGATTGTCACCTCGGTTTCAAATAACAGAGCTTTTATTTTTAGGTAGTTTTCTATTTTCTTTCTTATAATTATCAATTTAATAAAGCGCCAAAGAGTAAAAGACAAGCAGTGGCATGAAAGATATTTTCAATCAGATTAAATAAAATGTGATGAACCCTATTCAGGACTTTTGGGGTCTTTAGGACCCCACCCCATTTGGTTTAGGTGACAGGTATTGATTTTTTTTATTATTATTATTTTTGAAGATTTATTTTATTTTTTCAAATATAAAAAGGGGCATTTGTCATGCATCTGGAACCAAAAAAATATGTCAACTTATCAGAAAATGTGTTTAACATAGTATAAGAGTATTTAATGAATACCAACAAATATTTTGCACATATTCTTTCTTGGGGTCCAGTGGACACCGAAAGACCGTCTACATATGGCAACATGAAAGTCCTGAATAGGGTTAAACATCATCATACAGTTTTAATTAAATAGCGCCTTATCACACACAGAGGTATTCAAGGTATTTTATAGGCAAGAGTAAAAACCAACAACAAAAAAGAGAGTAAAATTAAATTATAATAAATCATACAGTGCAGACAAGTTGAGTAGAGTGCACATAAATTTGACAGAATAATTAATTAATTATAATGACAGAAAAAAGCCAAAGGAGAAGAAAACTGAAAACATGTAAAACAAAGTATAGAGTAAAATGTAAATAAATATAAAATAAAGTGAGAAAAGTAGAATAGAAGTAGTGGCAGTATATACAAGTCATCATAAAATGTAAGTTAATTAACTGAGATCAGTGCCAAAAACTTTTTAACAGTCTTCAGCTAAAATAGCCACATTGGGCAAATCAATATTTCAATGGGAGCTGATTCGAGCAACACAATGACTAAACACCAGTTCACCTTGTTTGGTCTGAACTCTGGGCACCATGATCTGATCAGTCCCTGCAGATTTGACACAACTTCCAGGCTTGTACTCAGCAAATATGTCTCTGATATGTTTTTGGTCCGAGACCATTCAAATACTTATAGACAGTAAGTATGGCCACTTGCACACTGAAGTTAAAGTTGATAAATAAATAAATAAATAGTGGGCTGTATTAGATATTATATTTAGATAGATAAGATAAGATAAATCTTTATTGTCATTGTACGGTCATACTTCAGACATGTCAAGCAACTGTCAAAAATAAACATTATGTACAGTTATGAATATTGTCAAAAAAGAATAAAGATTATGTACATCATATAAAAACAACAAATACATAAAAAGAATCAAAAATAAATAATGTGCAGAGTAAAGTGACTCAGTGTAAAATGACTTGTAAGGTGCAGAGAATAGTTATTATCACATTCACTGTAGTATTATGATGTGCTTAATGGTACAGGCAGTTTGTAACAATTAAAAAATAAGGATAGTAAAACGAAACTAGTACAATATGAGATGTACACTGGATTTTGTTGGGCTGGCAAAGTGTCAGTGTAAATTCATTTTCTCTGTCAAAACCCCTTACATGCATCAGTCAGTCCTCCTGCATACATAGACTATATTTATATATTTCTTAGATTATTCCATTTGTATTACCTCAATATTACCTCATTATCTTAATGATTATCCGTTTCTAGTCACTGTAACTATTTGTTTTGGTTCTTGATGTCCAGATTTAATATTCTGACTTTGGCTGAAAGTAAACTCAAACCACAGTTTAAGGTTTTCTCGCCCTCTAGTGTTTGATAAAGGATATTACATCCTGTACTTTACGTTTTAATAAATGGCCACTAGGGGGCGTCATGGTCCACAAATAGATGTGAGCAGCTCTGTATTTGTTCTTTAATGATGGTGCCAGTCTACACAGGAACCAGAACAAGACACAACCCACATTTTATATTTGCCTTTGAAGAGGGTTTGAGAAAGGTTTCAACATTTGTGTTTAGGGAATTATAAATAAAGAGAATGCCACAACTTGCTCTGAGAATACGGTGATTATTTAATCATTGTGTGGCTTCTCATTACATACACAGTATGCATCACTGTTTTTTTTTTTTCTTTTAATATTGTCTAGCTTTTTTCCTGGAGTTCATTTCTGTCATATTAAAGTAATTATCTGATTTATATTGTTGTTCTTATCTTTTGATTCAAAGACTTGATATATACTAATACATACTTTGGCTTGTTTTTTTGTTGTTTTTTTTAATGCCAAAAACAGTTTCTTTACAATTAAGAGTCCATTGATTCTGTGCACTTAGTACCAAGCTTTATGTCTGAGTCCTACCATGGATGTCAATGTGATGCCACAGTATCAACGCATACCCAACTAAGAATAAATCTAGAACAAGGAAGTCCTTGTTCAAATTGAAGGTAACATTTAGATT